TCATCTTCCTCCTTCATCTCAAGACAACGCTTGCAATAACGCGCGCTCGCTCCACCAACACACGTTCCGCGACAACGGCTAAAGTCGGGCTTCTTCATCGAATCAGCATCCTCAGGACGTGTGTACCATTTCGGCGACGTCTGAAAGCGCTGAGCAACTCGGTTGCAGATCACTTCCATGTAGTCATGAATTGCTTCTTTCGACACGAACTTTTCGTACAATTCATTGGCTCGAGCTGCAATCTGTTGACATTTGTCGTCATTCTCACGACACCATCGAATTTTCTCCTCCAAGTCTGAAAGATCCGCTTTGATCGGCACGTGATCTTCAAATGGTTTGAGAATGGGGTAGTACCACATCTCGTCGGCAACACAGCGCGACTCGACCTTGAGAATCACACTGCCCAAGCGCATCAAGAAGGCGTACCGGTTGGCAGCGCAGTGACCTTCAACGTACAGAATGTACTTGAACTTGGACTGCTCATAGATAGGAATGAAATGCTGGCGTCCACCTTCAAAGATGAACTTCTCGTGACGTAAGAACGTCATAGGCTTACCGGCGATTTTCTTATCGCGGAGGTTCCACGTGGTAACTTCAGCGTTAAGAAGCGGTACCAGCTCTTGATCCCCATCCCTCTCAGCCTCACCATTCATCATCGTATCTTTCTTCCATGTGTTCGAGAGGTGAGCCAAGTGAAGACGTTGATTGGTGTCAATCGTTGTGCCACCTCCCGTTGCACTACCACGAAAGAAAGCAGTATTCACCTTGTCTTCCCAAGGTTTGTAGAACTTCCTGAAGTTGCTAGCAGTAAAAAGGTCACGTGCGCCTTCGATGCCGTGTCTCTTCCGGCCATTGGCGCCAACGTCGCAGAAACACTCCCAGTCGTTCTCACAATGTACTGAATTACGACACGGACATCGATCGCAATGAGTATGTCTGAACGACTGCGGGAACACAAGACCTGTAGCTGCTTCCCAGTCTTCCGAGCATGGAAAAGGGATATCCGCGAAGCGCTTGGAGACGTAGAAGCTCATAATAGGCGCATACGTCGCGTAAAGGTGCTTTGTGAGGGGAATATCGTCGTCCGGGTTACGGTCATCTTTGTCAAACAGAAATCCGTACGGCTCGCTCAGGTTTTCCTGTCAATTCAAGTCACAAGACAGATTTTAGTCCGCAGATTCCTCTCTTTACATCAAGTGGCTACAAACCTTTAAGTGCGGGTAGTCGCGTTTGTTAATGAAGAACTCGCAGTCAGCAATGTTGCGATGCTTGCACGCGTCTTCTAGCATGTCTCGCAGTTGCGTCAGGAATTGATCTCCCCAGTACTGCGTCTCGTCCTCCTTGTTGCGGTATCTGCAGTGTTCGTTGCAAATGATGTTGCCATTGGCCCACCACTTGTTCACGTCTGGTATGATGTTTTCGCGTCGATAGTATCGCTGTTTCTCGCGGTAATATGCGAACATGCTGCCGTCCGAGCTGTCGAACGTCACGTTCTCTCCCCAGTTGTTCTCGTAGTTTTTGTTAGCGAAAGGAGCGAAGATGACGACGCGGCGTCGACGGATCATCACGAAGATACCACAGCGCATGTTGAAGAACAAGTAATACAGGGTATTGTATGTCGATTCGCGGTTGGTCTGTTGATGGAAGGGCATGTTAACACGGTAGTCGACGTCTTGGGCGATGGGAAGTCCCTCGCCCTGCGCGAAGCGATTGTCGGCGCTGACCGGGGGCGTCGGCTCAAGTGGGTACTTAAGGTCGTACTCCTCGATTTTGGGCATGAGGATCTCTTCAATCTGATGCCAGTCCACAAGCATGGAGAAGACGTGCTGCAGCTTGGGGAAGTCCGGGTTCGAGCCTCGCCAGCAGTGCTTGCGGATGAAGTCCTCGCACTCTGCCTTGGTAGCAAATTTGGGAACGCCGCCCGATGTCTCGGACATGACCCCACGCCGCCATTCTGGGGTCTCTTCGTCCTCGAAGGCGAAAATGCCGCGCAGCATCGGACGCTCGTCCATGGTAGCGAGAGCAGTTGTGACGAGGGGAAGATAATCTCATGCGTTATTGGATAAAATAGCAGCCAATGAGGAACAGAGTCCAAAAAATAGTAGGAGGAGGACTTTACATGTTTATTAATACCGGTAGTCGTCCTGCAAGATACGGTACTGTACTACAGAAGTAGTACAGTACCTCAGATAACCTTTTTATACAGTATGAACTTCACCTACGGCCAACAGATGTAGGTGTAGAACAGACTGTAGGTCTTTCTTCTGTAGGCAGTCATATTTTAACTTACAAAAAAGAAAACGATAAGAAACACCAGCCATATTACTTGGCTCAAACTCTCTTCACGACACTCTCAACCTAAGACTCTTGTCACGAATAACTCACGAATTGTTTTCTAGACTCTCAAGCGTTTTGACGCTACATGTACATGTAGACGTATAATTGTGCACAACCATCGGGTTTGCGGTGCCCGACTCGCCGTATTTCAAGATCCAGTGGCAAGTTATGCTACAGGCGGCAAATGAAACTTACTTTCAATTTGAAAGTAAGTTTCAAAGAAAGTCACAATCCGATTGTATTTCCGAAAGGAAGCGTCTTTAGTAAAGACTCTTTACGGGTTTACTTGACGGCTTTGACCTCTAGGCTGGCGTTAGATAAACCCCAGCGTTTAAATAGGAATAGTCAACCAGAGCGGCTTGCATTTACATTGTAATATGTTGCGCTTTTGACGGCCTCTACAGTACATGTACTGTACAACAATGGTAGGCGATCTGCCTGTACATGTACCGTATTTGAGATCTCCTACTTCAGAGTGATCTCCTAATTCAGACTGCCCTCCAACCAATCACATATCGAGAATGGAACAGCGCACAAGTCTAGATCTCCTAATTCAGAGTACAAAAAACATGCTAAACTGTAACTATCCACCAGCTCATTGCCAGAAATTTGCAATGGCGCGCACTCCGCTCGGCCAACGGAAAGGGAGAACCCGTATTTCTGGCACTGGCAAGCCTCCCAAGAAGTTTAAGTGCGTTGCCATTTCATACGCCTACAAGCTTTCGGTTGTGGAGTGAACCTGATTGGGAGCTGCTACGACGGTTGCTGGAAGAAGTGCCCGTAGTGCGCCATGCTGTGGATACGCGTCACGATATAACTTCGTAGTTCCCGAAGAAGATCTTGATAACTAAATTGTTTTGTTTAAATAATACGTGATAGAGATGCGTCGGTACGTGTACAGATCTTGTGTATTTTGCAACAATACAACTTCAAAAATATTGGGTCTGAAGTAGGAGATCTCAAATACGGTACTGTACAAGGCCAGCGGTTGTACAGGTCGCCTTGTCGCGGGTCATTTTACACCCACATTCTGAGGCCTTTCTCCAAGAGTACATGTTTTGTGACAGTTTTCCGGAAGCCAGCAACTAAAGTCGCTTCACTTCGAATTAGACCTCGTGGTGCTCGCCGTTATGAGCCCCACAGAGCAAGACTCATCGGCGTCGCCCAGCGTCGCCGACGTAGTGACTGCCGCTCAGCAAGAGCAACAACCGCAACAATCGCAAGATCCACCACAACCAGCGTCGCCAGCGTACGCGGGGTCTTCCGTTTTCGAAACGACGCACGGGGCAGGCCCCAGTTCCATCGCCGGCGGTCGACCGCGAGTGGAGTCTTCTGAGCATTTTGGCTTCCTACACCACAACGCGGACGAAGACATCTACGTGTTCGAGGAGCCGCCCGAGGTAAAGGTACTCGGCGGTCGCTTCGAGGAGTCTTGGCCTACCCGGTACGTCGAATACGATGTTGAGGTACGTAAACATCAACAGTTGCGTTGGTATACCGCTGAACTAACGTCGATAATAATGGCCAATTGCAGCTAAAGTACAATAATTTCAAGTGGAAGGTGGAGATCCCCAAGTCTTCCATCTCAAGTCTCTGGTTCTACATTAAGAGTCGCCCGCATCTTCGTCACGCCCCGTCTTCAGTCGCTGTAGAGCGCACTGAACATGGCATTGGCGAGTCGGGCGTGCCGGAGCACACACCTACAGCCAGTGAATCCCGCTGGCCGCAGCTACGAAAACTTTTCTTAACATCTGCCGACAAGTCTGTTGGCCCCGAGATGGTTGCACTCGTGCAGCAGTTACTGGAAACGGTAGTGAAAGTGCCGCGACTGCTACGATCGCCCTTTGTTGCAGCGTTATTTCAAGTCAGCAACTCAACGTTCGACGACGAAATGGGTCGAACGTCTGTACGTGAAGGTTGGCTGAAAACACGTTTCTGGCTCAAAGGTAACCGCGAGAATGTCCGTATCAACCGCGCGTCCATGTCGTGGGACAACGAATGCTTCAACTGCATGTGTGTGGTCAAGCGCGTTAACTTCCGTGCCAAACGTTTGCGCTGGGTGT